ATTAAAAATTTAATCCTTACCGCAAACTTTATAGCGTTTCATATTTAATCTAGAGAGTCTAACTTGTTATCTTTCTTAAATAAGAAATAAGACTTAAAAATATGAGACCTCTTTTTTTGAATTTCATATTTATAGCTTTTAAAATAGAAATGCAGAAGCGAAATTGTTTTAACTTCCATTTATTGTTATCTTAAGAAAGAGAGAATATTTTGATATATTTGTTTGTAAGATAGGATTTAAATTTTATCAGATTTTCGGTTTTTATTTGTAATAGAGTCAAATCTAAATTGCTATTTAGGCGAGTTATTTCTATGTAACTATTCCATTTTATAAAGCATTGAAAGATTATAAAAATATTTTCAGGAACTCAATTGATTTTCACTGAGTTCACTGAGAAAAAAATATGGTCAAGACTGATAAAATTTATTGTTTCTGGTTCCGTGGAAACAATAAAAAGCACTCTCTAATTTTTACCATAGCGCCGCGGTAATGCACTAAAATTAACAATCCTATCCTTATTAATAATCCTTATTTATTTTTAAATTTCTTTGAACTGTTTTGAAGGATTTTATAATGCATAATTTTTATCCCTTCCCATTCTGTTAAGCCTAGGTCAAATTCGTCTTAATGTTCTATCTTTGCTACTTGTAGGCTTGATTATCAACCTCATTTTATTTTAAGAATTAATGTATGTTGTATGCAATTGTAACAGGGTACGATTGTAACAGAGCAAAAATTTCGAGTGTCGGGTTCTAAATTTGGTTCCTAGGTGACGCACAAGGTGTATTTAATAAATCTACCTGTACACCCCTGATGGCAATCATTTTTATGTACTTTTGAAAGAGTTACATCACAAGAGATATTTTCACGCTACGTAAGTACTATTTTTGGTATTAGAATATTATATTGTAACAATTTAATTTTGTTTAAACAAATAAAAATTATTAACCGAATATGTAAGTGGACAAATTAATTAAAATTTCAAAAAAAATATTAGGTTTGTTAATTAACTAGCATTGTTTTTACAAATGAAGCTGAAATGGCATCTTGGGGACAATTGTAGCAATAAGTAAAGGAACGATTGTAACAGCCAAAAAATAATTAATCTTATGTTTACAAACTATTACTTGACTATTTAAGAACCACCAATAGTTTCCTATATGACTTATATTATGCTGCACGTGCATTATTTTATTTGTCACCTTTCACAGCATAAATTAAATTTTTTAACCCCTTAAAGTTAAAAGTTTAAACCTTCAGGTCTCTGCTCATTATTATTTTTAATCCTAAAATATCACTATTATTTTAATCAAGAAAAATATATCACAACTATGATAATATGTATAATTAACTATGTTTTAGTTGAATTTATGAGCTATTACTATTGACCCCGTAATTGGGGACAATTGTAACAAATGCACGACTGTCAAAAATTGTTAATATCTAAAACAGTAACATTTAAAATAAGGTATTTATTTTTTTCTAGTAGAGGATAGTCTACTTTACTCGTCTGTCAATTAATACTCATAATATATTGGGTTTTTTGTTTGTTAAAAATAGTTAGGTTAAAAATTTTACTATTGACCCCGCTCTCCCCTATGCATTCCAAATTAATGATTCTTGTTTTAGATTGTAACGTAAAAAAAAAAAAAAAAAAAAANAAAAAAAAAAAAAAAAAAAAAAAAAAAAAAAAAAACAGACTCTTATGTGCATCTTATCTCATAGTAATTATTTATTTTAGTGTTACTGAACAAAAAGATGATGGTGATTACATTATACCAAATAGTGGAGCAGAACATTTTCCAGGTGCAGTGAAGCACAGAAATCTTTGTAAAATATTTGCAACCATTTTTGCCGTTGAGATACATTAATTTTATTTTACAGCGTATAACTAAACACATTGCAATATTTCATAGCATTTATTTCTGTTTTTGTTGAATAGTTTGTAACGAGCGAGACAAAAACAAACTTTTACCTCCATGTACTCGATTGTAAGCAACATGAACAATTGACTCGATGTCGTTTGACGTCTTCCAAAATTGGTAAAAATAATTTCTGAATTGAGTAAATGCATCTGTATCCGGTGTAAGCTTTCTAAATTAGTGTTTAGATACAACAACACATTTTAACCACTTCTTTCTCGCTCCCGTGAAAATGACGGGATGAGGTTTCACCCTCTATTTCTCGCTCCAGTGATATTGGCGGGCTGGAGAGTTCAGTAGTAACGTGCCAATAAGAATAAAACAAATTCATTTATTTTGTCCGGAAAACAATTTACTTCTCATTTTACACACCAGATGGCAGTACCAAGATATTAAGGTAATTGTAGATACTTATTTGATTTTAAACTAGTTCTGACACTAATCAAATACGTGATACAAATACAAAAGCCAAAACAAATAGGCACTTTTATGACCGTTTTCTTGAACATTAACCGATCTTTAAGGGGTTAACGAAAGTATGAATGCTCGATTCAGTTTTAACCTGAAATAAAGCATAACTTATAAAGTTTTTAAGATTAAATTTTAAAATAGTATTGAGCCACCTATTTTACAGGGTAAAAAAAAAAGAGAAATATTGTTTTTGCCTAAAGTACATAACATATCATGTAATATAAGCAAACATAAACATACCATGTAAGTCCTCAGTGTTTTAAGGACATTAATTATATCAATAAGACATTTCTCAGTTTCTCAAAACTAAATTTTTATATCAAAAATAACAATTTGAAGACTCCTAATAAACTGAATCGGCACAATTAAATAAAAATTTCTCCACGCCTCACAGTGGACTGATCATAAGCTACGGTTCCCAGTAGATCACCGAAGTCAATCATCACTGACTGCGGTTCAGCGAGTGAGGGAAGGGGTAAACACCAAGCCTGTATTGGATCAGCCTGTAAATACATCAAGGGAACGAACAATACCGTAAAGTGCACAACATTTGCTCGTATAGGTTACCGGGCTACCAAAGCAGTGGAACCATTTCTTCTTCAAAGAATCGAAATTGCAATGATATGTCTTCGCCATATCTTCTGGGTGGTTTCCCAGACTGTCTCCCATAGTTCATGGCGCATGACTAGTATGATGTAAATAAAATACCAAAACTAATACTATTTTTTTAACTTCATAATAATGACACTTTTTCTAAAGAATAAAAACTATTGTAGTATCAATACCCACTTGTGTAAGCAATATAAATTCTGTGACTTACTAAACAAATTCAAAACTATCACAAGCAGTTTAGTTGAAAATTAGCCCGTTCTAGTTTTTTTCTCTTCGTTTTTATTTTAACTTAATTCTTATCAAACGTATTCTGACAACGAAATGGCGGTAATACGGAAACTTCTGAATCCAACCATTATGGCTTTACGTATCATGTCAAATAATCTGTAGACAAAGTATTTATTTTTGACACTAAGAACACTTCTTATCGGGATTTTAAAAGGAACATTTTAGAAAAAGGCACTTATTTTTAAAAGATGGATTTTTGTTTAGAAGGATCCGTTTATTTTAACAATGTATTATTATTCTCCTCCATATATTTCTTACTTGATCAATAATTTTTTTTGGGAGGGGGGAGAGTAGCGGTTGAAATAACCATTTTTTATACTATGTAAGTCATCAGTGCCTTGAAGTCATTAGTTATGTCTATTAAACATTTCTCATTTTCTCAAAACTAAGTTCATGTGAAAGAAATTAAGAACACGGAGCAATTAAATATATATTTCTCTTATCTTCATGCTTCACAGTTTACTGATCATAAGCTACGGTTAACAGGAGATCACTGAAGTCTATCATCACTGATTGCGATAAGCAAGCGGAGGGGGGATAACTATTTTGGCCAGACTGCAAATGGATCAAGGATACCAGCAGCAATCGTTGTCAAGCAGTTTTGCTTGCGACAGCATTGCGCGTATTGCGACAACATTGCGCGTATAGGTCATTGCGCATTGGGAGCCATCCCCTCTTCAAAGGTTCAAAATTGTGATGGTATGCCTTCGCATCACCTTCAGAGATGTACCCCAGATTTTAACCAATGGCCCATTTCTCAACCATGACATGAATAAAGTACCACTATTTAAAATCTTCATAATAACGGCACCTTTCATAACGAATAAAATCTATTGTAGTACCAATACCCACCCGTGTAAGCAATATAACTTTTGTACGTATGTACATGTTGCAATCATTAAAAAACTATATCAACAGAGTTGAGAAGGCAGTAATAATTTTAAAAATGGTGTTTTGCACTGGGAAGAGCTGCAGGTATTTAGCTGTCCGTATTCTTATGGTAACTGCATCCGGTGTATTTTGAGGATACTTGACTCAACGTGTATTCAATGAGTATGTTCTTTGCTCTAAGTGATATTTTGTAAAATAATCTTAGTCTTGCTGAGTAATGATAAAACTAACGTATGTACGGTATGCTACTTGCAACAAGAATAAGAATGAAAAGGACAATTGAGGACTGCCTCAAAAGGAGACTCGTTCTAAATTTAGCAACTCTGTCTCATTTTTTTAACAATATATCTATAAATAATTGTAACAAATTTTCACTTCAAACTCATCACAACTACTGAACTACATCAATAAGGTATAAAGCTCGAGATATGTTTTCGCTTATATTTGTGACGAAAACACTATCCATACTGACACTGTTTCCGGTCTGCTGCATCCGCGTGAAAAACGGTTTTGTCAGTACGACGACCACTATCCATGCTGTTGAAAATACTTTCTATTAAGCAAAGTAAATTTTTGCTGCTGAAATATAGATTATATTCCAAAAGGTATTTGAATCATCCCCTTTAAGAACACTTCGCAACGTCCAACTCCATCTGTTGTCAACTTTTGAATCTAAATTTGTGAATTTCTGCCAAAACCTCATTTTTTTTATTCAATAAACACTAAAATAAAAACGTGATGTTAACGTGAAGGGAAAACATTTGAATATAGCATTGAATTTGAAGCTTGGTAATTTGAACGATAGAGACCCAAATATAAGCAAAGGCAACACAGAGAAGAACTCAGTTTTTTAATTCCAAAAATACATGTACATGTTCTTCGTTTCACTTCTTTATCCGTAATATCTGGAAAAAAAAGTAAAAAGCATGCACTTATTATTATTTTTTTAATTTTAAGTATTATATTTACTATCCTTCTTAAATAACTATTTAAATTTTCTCACATAAAAAGAGTCTTGAATTGTAATTATTTGATTTTTTAATGATATTAGCCTTGTATGTCATATCGTTTTCTAAAATGTTTCAACGATATAAGGTATTGACTCTATATAAATTGAACTTACAGTCTATATTTTTTTTCTTCACATTTTACTTTAAATCATACAGGGAAAGCAGTTTGCAATAAAATTTAGTCTAGCGTCACGATAGTTTTCACTTCATTCCACTTTCAAATCACGGCTATTTTTAAGTAATTTTTACTGTTTTAAAAACCATCCGAATTATGTAATGTAATGATTTCGGGTGATGATCTTAAACTAAGATCATACGTCCCCTGAATTACAGGTCATAGGTATTTGCGTGACAAGCTATAAGCTGTTTTAGCTCAGCTAGGTAAACATGCGTGGAGGTGAAGGCATTACTTATTCTCTACGTAACTCTGAAAGAAGAAATAAAAAATTGCTTGAGGATAGGATTCTGGATGGTCATTGGGTAAGTGGCATGTTGTAGTTTGTGGCTCGTCCATTCCATCGATGAATGAGATATTCATCAATCTCAAATGTATGCTGCTATGCGTAAATAATAAACTCCACCCATAATTGAAGATAGAGTCTGTCAATATCGTCCTCAACAGTTGCATCAAAGAGTTGGCATAGCCCAAAAAAGCAACTCCCGTTACAGTTAGCTTCTGAAAAGAGAATGGGGCGAACATTTTCCTTCTCTTCACTTTACAGAACACATTTACTTTTGGGTAATTTTGCACCTGTAATTCTTTGAATTTGGGATTCTTTGTTACACGAAAGTGAACATTTTGCTTGTTTACCTTTCCACCAACGTGGAATGGTGCGTAATCGGGAATAACTAAGTGAAATCGATATTTAACAATGGATTCTGACTCAAAAACCTTAAGATGTGTTTGGCGGTATGGGTTACCGGCTTGATCGATGTCATGTGACTAAGGGGTCACACATAAAACGTTTGAGACTGTTCCTAAAAAACTTTACCATATAAAACCATACCAGATACAAATCTATTGCAGGTAACTTATGAATAATATTGAACTTGATTTATGGGGCACTGAAACTGCTCACTTCTTTACGAACCTCCCTGAACAATATAGTAGAGTTTATAGTTATAGTTTTGCATAATAAAAAGTATAAGTTTTAATTTTAATAAAATAGTTTTGTTATAATAAAGTAGTGAAAAATTAAGATGTTATTTAGTTGAAGCACTTTAAAGTAGACACCATTTTGTGCAAAAAAATAATAATAAAGTGAATGGTGATTTAAGAACTTTTTCAAAAGTCTGAATGAATAATTAAGTTTTGTTTTTTGATAGAAGAAATGTTAAGCATTTTATAACTTTATCAATGAAAGAAAAAAATATTATGATCTTAAAACTTACTTTTAAAAAAATTTACTTCTAAAACAGTCTAGTGGTATCTGAAAAAGGTAATAATAACAATATTTACTAACAATGACAGAAAAACTGTAATTTTGCGCGACAGTCCCTTTTACAGAAACATATCGTTCCTACCAATATTATCACAAACTGTGAAAATATAAATATCCTTTTTTCTTTGAATTCTGCTGAAAAAATTGAATTTCAATGTCTTTACCCTATACATTAATGGATAAAAATAGCAGTTCAACTTATAATTTTTGCCACACAGATTTGTGTATATTACGTTAACTTTTCCTTCCTTCTCTCAAACCATTTTCGATTATTCTCCATACTTGGTTTAATTTTTTAACAATTATTTGTATAAATAAAACTTCGATTCGTCATTATTGTGAAATCGCAACTCCAGCTGATTGCTATCTTCTTTGTTCAAATATGATTTTAGTCAAGTCTTCTACGTTTCATTATGATCACTATTCTAACCATTAACTAAGATCACAAGAGTGTTTAGAGCGGAGTGACCCATTACTTTTTTAAGTGTTTTAATGTTTAAGTATGGTTTTAATATGAAAGAAGTTTAAGGTAAAAATCAATGTAATGCCTAACTTTTAATTTCAATACAAATATGAAACACATTAATTGACTGTCGCGTCTAAATCGAAAACAAAATATACTTATAGCTCTTTATTCTTTGTTCCTTATTACAGAAATGTTTCAGTTACATTTTTATACTAATTCTCTCAGTATTTTTGGCTATTAGCTTTCACCAAATTATTTTCAAATGTAATATTGATTATGGAGGGTTGGCTTTGTTTTTGGCTGTTTTATCTTTTGATCAATCGCCAGTCATTGATCTTTTACCATGCTTCTAACTATCAGTTCGGAACAATTCGCTTTACTTTTAATTTGACTAGAGGGCTTCGGCCTCTCAGTCCCAACCGTTGAATTTTTATCTTATCAAAATTCCTGATGTGAGGAGATTGAATCTTTTGATCCCTTTGATGGACTTTCCTTCTTTATTTTATACTTTTTGAATGTAGTCGTGTTCATTATAATAAGACTTGTATAATAAATAAATTTTTTCTAAGCGATTTTATTTATTTTTCTGGGATTAATATACCTTCCTCATATCCAAAATATAATGTATTTCAAACGGTCATAATTATGTTTAATACTCCACTAACCACTAAAATGGACTAAAAACTCCAATCATAGTTATTCCGGTCCAAGTTTCAGCGATAACTAAGTCGTACAATTTCCGCTGACAAAAACTATCCAGTCCTCGTTCGAGTATAATTCACATCGTAATTCGTCACTGAGAAAGTTTATTCCCAAATGGTAAAAGTATGTTGTGTCTCGAGATCCACTTTATACACTCTAAAAACTGTACCGCTGATTTCAGAGGCACATTTGGATCGCTTGTGCCTCTGAATTTTAAGGGCACAACGTGCCTTTAAAAATGAAAGGCACAATGTACCTCTGATTTCAGAGGCACATTTGGATCGTTTGTGCCTCTGAACTTTAAGGGCACAACGTGCCTTTAAAAATGAAAGACACAATGTACCTCTGATTTCAGAGGCACATTTGGATCGTTTGTGCCTCTGAATTTTAAGGGCACAACGTACCTTTAAAAATAAAAGGCACAATGAACCTCTGATTTCAGAGGCAAAATTAGATGTACCTCTTAATTTGAAAAGTACATTGTACCTTAGATTTTGCTTTTATGAACCACTCATTGAAATAAGCATTTAGTGGTACCATAACCTGTTATTTACCAGATTTGAACACACTTTTTTTTTTACCCATTTGTAATTTGCTTGCACTTCATATAAAAAGTGGTTTACACTATTACCAAGATATTAATTATAATAATTCTTAATGAAAATTATTTCTGAATTCTTTGAATATTGGCCAC